CCATCAAATTATAAATTTAGAAGTCATACCAGTAAACATGGAGGGTGTGAGGCACAGTCAGCTGCAGAGAGCATCTAAGAGCTTTCCCATCTTTTCTAATCCACAACTCATCAGTCAAAGAACCAAAATAACTGGGTGACCTTAGTCAGGATTAGAAAATCTAGTGTTGGTTATTTGATCCTGGATCTGTTTAGTGACATATGAAGAACAGGGCTCTCCCTTTCTCTCCGAAGAGCTGCCGGATAGGAGCAACTGGAGGATTAGTTTTACTAATTTGTTTCACCTTGTTCAAATTCACACACCACAACCTGCTCATTTAAGATTTGTGGAATCAACATTCAGTCGATGTTTACTGATGTGAGGTTGTAGTTGACGGAGTCTCTTTCTTTAATACCATTTGGTTTTGTGGTGATGCTCGAGTGTCGGCGGGTTGATCTGAAGAGAGTCAGAAATCTTCCCTTCATCTGTTTCCTAGCCATCCATTTGTACTTGTTTATCTGGTTGACAACACTGATTCCTGAGCTCCAGAATATATTGTGACTTCTGCCAGTGATGAATGTTTCTGATGCTTTCATTTGATTCATATTCTGCTCCAGAAGTGAGCTCTAATGGAGATTGGAGTCTCAGATGGATGCACTAGAGATTTGCTGCAATTAATACAGTGACAAAATGGGCATCGCAAAAACACCTGAAGGTAAAAAAACTGACTGCAAAAGAAAAAGCACATTTTAGAAAAATTGTGTTTGTTCCCCCCCCCCCCATCAGATCAGAGCCTCATGGTCGTGGAGGCGGTTGTCAGCAGGGTCAGGCAGACTCTCCCCTCCCAGAGCAGGATGAGGAGATCCTGGGCTCTGATGACGATGAGCAGGAGGATCCCAATGACTACTGCAGGGGTATCAGAATATATATACACACACACACACACACACATTAAACATACAGTAATTAAACAACATTGTCTGAGTATATATGTTTGTCTCTCTTCTGTCAGGTGGATATCACCATGTGAAGATCGGAGATCTGTTCAATGAGAGATACCATGTGATTCGTAAGCTGGGCTGGGGGCACTTCTCCACTGTGTGGCTGGCCTGGGACATCCAGTGAGTTGGCTCCTACATATGAAAATGTGAAACTGTGAAACTGAGCTGGTCATGTGATAGAGAATCTTTTTTTGGGGGGGGGGGTAAATGTCTTTATACATTTTCTGGATATACATCAATAAGCCATAACAACCAGTTAAAGTGAATAACACTGACTGTTACAGTGGCACCTGTCAGTGTGTGGGGTTTATTAGGCAGCAAGTGAACATTCAGTCCTCAAAGCTGATGTGTTGGAAGCAGGAAAAATGGACAAGTGTAAGAATCTGAGTGACTTTGACAAGGACCACACTGTGATGAGTGGGTCAGAGCATCTCTCAGACTGCAGGTCTTGTTGGGTGTTCCTGTCTGCAGTGGTCAGTACCTACCAACAGTGTCTAAGGAAGGACAAACAGTGAACTAGCGACAGGGTCATGGCTCACTGATGATGAGGATGACCGACTGTAAATTAAACTTTTAAATTTCATTCATCCTTTTCAAAAGATTTGGTTTTGTTGGAACCTTTGTTAAAATGGTTGAAAATGATAAAGACTGTACACTGGTCTCTATGAAGAGAAACATTCAGTGGCTATAGTGTCTAAACACACCTCTAACTCGTCCTCATGACCAGTTTTCACAGAATGGTCGACACATCTGTGCTCTTCTTGACAGTAGAACTGTGGAAGCAAACTGATTCACAGAAGATGCACAGTGAGTGACACGAGCACCAACCAACCGCTGCATTGACTCTTACGTACACAGTTTTAGGCAGGTGGTCATAATGTTGTGGCTGATCGGTGTGCATGCTGAGAAGGTTGATATAACTGATATTAATTGATACACATGTGAGGAGTTTTTTTGTGTATGTTTTCCAGGGAGAAGCGCTTTGTGGCCATGAAGGTTGTAAAAAGTGCTGAACATTACACAGAGACAGCTCTGGATGAGATCAAGCTGCTTAAATCTGTAAGCCTCACCGTTGTCATGACACAAGCATTTTCGCACCGCTTCACACTCCAGTTATTCTAGGGCTTACAACACCTGCTGCTGTGTGTGTCTGTGTGTTTTCCAGGTGAGGAACACAGATCCCAGTGACCCCAACAGGGAAAAAGTGGTGCAGCTTCTAGACGACTTCAAAGTTTCTGGGATGAATGGCACTCGTATCCTCTGTTGCGACAGAAACGTATTGTTAAGAAGCAACAGGCCATGTCTTTCCAAAATACAAAAATCCACAATTACATTTATATGCACTTTATTTTCCAACATCTATTCAAAGAGCTGAGTGCAAATGATGGATCCAGCAACCCCTGCATTATTATTGTCCCCTATTAGTCATGTTTTGATTACTGTTGGACAGGTTTCACGTACAAAGAAATGTGTTGTTCTTCAGCCCAATTTGTGTTGGAACAAACGCACAGTGTCCTTAAAATGGTGCATGATGACTAGTTTTCTGACAGTGCCAGCTGTTTGTGCTGCTGTCATTGTGGGAAGGAAGGGACTGCTGCACCAACAGAAATTTAATAGCTTCAGTTATGTCTTGCTTTCTTTTGGCACCTCAGTGTAATGCCATTATTCCTGGCCAAATCGCTGCTTTACTGTTAAACATTCAAGGGTAAGACTGCATCACTTCAGGCTATGTGTTATTTTACAGCATCCTTGTCGTTGTGCTCAAAGCCCAACATTCAGTGCATCACTTTTAAAGATGTGCATATCTATTAGAACTACTGAGTTTAGATGCAAGCAGCAGCAATGAGATAAATGTGAGTGCTGTCATCTGACAGTCTTAAGTCTCCTGTGATTTTTATGACAACAGTGATTCACACTCTGCTCTTCTATTTGTGGCTCACAGATGTTCATCTGACATCCGTGTGCTTTGGCACATCTCTAAGTGTCACAGTTCGTGATGCAGTGACACTCACTCCCTTTCTCCCCAACACCATCCAGTCTACAGCTGTGTGTATATGCTGCATGCGCGACAGCCTCTGTGAATTGAGGTAGACTTTTGTGATGTATATGGATAGTGTTCACGGTCATGGAAAACCTTTTGTGTGTGTGTGTGTGAACATTATTAGATTTGAAGTCCTGTTATTCCTTAACCATGTATCTGTTCAGATGTGTGTATGGTATTTGAGGTGCTGGGATATCACCTACTCAAGTGGATCATCAAGTCAAATTATCAAGGCCTGCCCTTACCCTGCGTTAAAAGTATCATAAGACAGGTACTGTACAGGAACACGGGTTGTCTTTAAAACAATGGTGAACTTTCCTGTTTTAGGAATAATAGTGTTTCATGATTTGGTTTGAATGTAGAGTCAAACCAGAATGAGCTACACATCAGAAATGTGTAGCTCATTCTGGTGTAAGATCACAGTGCCCCTGGTGGGTACAGAATGATGTGTTATACAGTCAGCAGCATTCACCTTTAACTCTCGTGCTTCACGTGATGATTTGTCTCTGCTGTGTTGCAGGTTCTGCAGGGCTTAGACTACCTCCACACCAAGTGTAGGATCATCCACACAGACATCAAACCAGAGAACATTCTGTTGACTGTCAATGAGCCCTACATCAGGAAAATGGCTGCTGAAGCTACACAGTGGCAGAAGACAGGCACTGCCCCTCCCTCAGGTTCTGCAGGTCAGCCTTTCCCTGTCTGCTCTTCACACAGATCAGCTCTGGACTTTGTCCAGAGTTGCCCTTTCACATATATAGCACACAACAGGAGATGGTCTGTGTCAGATGTTCGTCTGTATGCGTTCTCACATACGGCTTTTCCGGCTAATGTCCAAATAATTTTAAGATGTCAGTGCATGTCTGAAAAGGGTTTAAGTGACTTCCGTGGTTTGATCAGCATTTCGCTGGCAACCAGGTTTGCTGTTCACATTTCTTGGCAGTGCCTTTCAGTGTTTTATTGATGAGAGCTGTCATTAATAACTAGTACTAATTTCAATAAATGTGAAACTGTTTAAGTGGTTAATTATTAATCATCTTTAATTGGGCTCAGGATTGTATTGTCAAGAGACACAAAGCATCTTGAAACTTGAGGGTTCTGACTTAAAGCATGTGGAAATTTCTAATGCAAGAGGTGCACTTAGCCGTGTGCCAGTATGAGTCATCATTGGATTGGTTATGGAAATTACCAGCTAGCTCCAAGGAGTGTGTTGCTCCCACTGAGCAGAGTGCCGCGTTGTGAAACAGCTCAGCCACCCGAACAGAAGACTAATTATAGGACAGGCGAGGGATGTGCCACGTATGTTGTTCACAAGTGTAATCCTCTGATTTTCCTTCTTTCCTACAGTGAGTACAGCCCCCCCACCCAAACCAGTAAGTCATACTTTTGATCAGGTGGTTTCATAAGTGTAATATGAGGCTTTGTACAAATTGCATTTTGAGTCAGGTCACAGTGCAAGCTCAAATGCTTCCTCTCCTCTTGTTCTATTTCTGCAGATGGCCAAACTGTCAAAGAACAAAAAGAAGAAGATGAAGAAGAAGCAAAAGAAGCAGGCAGAGCTGCTGGAGAAGAGGATACAGGAGATGGAGGGGGGAGCAGCACAAGAAGGAGGGGAAGAGGAGGATGAGGAAGAGACAACGACAACAGAAACCACAGAGGACACAACTTCCTCAGCCACCCTCTCCGTGTCTGCCACCTTGCAAGACATCTCCAACCATACCATCACAGGTGAATGAGTTGTCACGTCCTCTTCCAGACTCATGTGGAAGACAGCAGATAACTTAATAAATAAATAAATATGCACAGTTTAAAAAACTGCTATTATCCGCTGGCATAAATTAAACTTGGTACAATAATTTACGCTCCTTTTTGCCACAGACTCAACATCAGATGAGCAGTCCCAGCAGACACCGGAGGTAAATAAACGAAGAGAGGCCAAGGAAGAGAACAGGATGGAAGTGAACTGCAATGGCCACGTATCCACGCCGGAGAGTGAGGCAAGCCCGGAGAGCCAGGTACATGAGACCAAGCTGTCGCCAGTGGAGCAGGAGGACCAAAAAAACGCAAACCAACTGGAAAACAACACGGAGACCCTTGACACATTAGGCAACAAAGAAGAGCATCAGACCTGTAAGGGTTCCCCCGAGGACACCGACCTGCAGCTACCCCGCTCCCTCAGCCCAAACTCTGTCAAAGTAGAGTTAGAGGAGGGAGACAAGGGAGAGATGGACGCTCAAGGGCAGACAAAAACAGGGGATGTGGAAGACGGCCAGAATGGTTAGTTACTAAAGGAAAGTGCCTCGAATCACTTCGTTCTCTTTTATGCGAATTGTTTTGTCATGAATTCTGTATTCTGAAACTGCAGCAAGGGTCTCATATCAGATTTAACAGCAATCCAGTATGAATCCAGATTTGGTCTAATATGCACATTAATGCAACATGCATTACAGTGAGAAAAAGCAAACCTCAGTGAAACTGTAGCTGGAGTGGCACAGTTTTCATTGAAAGCCATAGTTGTATGAGACACTTTTAGGAAAAAAGCTCACAGAATTTTGGCTTATACATTTGAATGCCTTGTTTTTTCAATCCTACACATCAGTAACCTCCTAACCAGTTACCTAGGGGAGGCCTTGTTATGTAACATATTTAACCTTTCACAGCTGTGATACCAGCTACAGAAGCAGCCTCCAGTCCAAGTTTGAATCTGTCCTGGGTGTTGTATTCTCTGTTTTTAGGATGTCCTAGTGCGCATGTAAGCAAAGTGCCAGCTCAGATGTCCTCAGTCCTCTCCAAGGCAGCTACATTTTGTCCCTGTCTTTTTTTCCCCCCGTACTTCTGTCATCCTCGTCTCTCAATCTTCCTCTCCTCTCTTTAACAGATGCATCAGGCAGTATGTTAATAAACCCTCTGGAGCCTCTCAATGCTGACAAGCTGCAGGTTAAAATTGCTGACCTGGGCAACGCCTGCTGGGTGGTGAGTGCAGAGACATGAATTCTTTTTACTTTGCTGGGAACTTGAACGGGTTTGTCCACTGTGATGTTTCTCTGTCCTTTAAATCTGACTTCTTGAGCATCAAAAGCACAGACCAGACAAGTGAAAAAGCAGAACATTATAAATAGCAGCTCAGTTTTGTGCATCAGCATTCATGGTTTCTCCCTTCTTCTCACAGCATAAACATTTCACAGATGACATCCAGACACGGCAGTACCGCTCTCTTGAGGTTCTGTTAGGAGCCGGCTACAGCACACCAGCAGACATCTGGAGTACGGCTTGCATGGTAAAACAGACCCACACAGACGCCTGTGCAACTAGAAGGAATTGATTCTGGAAAGGCAAACTATAACATTATTAAGGTATCCTGTGGTGTTCTTATTGTAAACAGTTAATCACAGGTAATGGTTAATCTCTCTCATTACAGCCGTAAAAACATGCCTTCGTATGTTCCTTAGTTGGTTCATGGCCATCATCAACTGTTACAACCCAGTGTTCATGGTGTGCATATGCCCACTGGAAGAAATACAATCTATGAACCCACTCATCAAAACATTGCAAGACTAATAGTCAAACCCTCATCGTGTTTGACCTTACTGCCTGAAACAAACAGCTGTTTGAGGGCAATGCAGATACACACAATGAAGTCGTGATTAGTGAAGGGCAGGAGAAGGTTGTTAAACCTCAGGAATCAGGTCTAGGCAGTCACGCTGCATTGCTTCTTCATTAGCCATATAAACTTTTATATAATGAAACCCATCCAACCTGTTGTCGTGTGCTCGTCTCCTCAGGCCTTTGAGCTTGCTACAGGAGATTATCTGTTCGAGCCCCACTCTGGAGAAGACTACTCCAGAGATGAAGGTTAGTGTCCCCAAAATGTCTGACATCGGAGTTTGACTCGGGGGTAATTTGAGTAGAAAAGAGTCAAAAGTTTAGACGCATTTCAAATTCATTTCAGTGGCAAAGTGTCCAAACCTTTGACCGGTGGTGTACATACAGTATATCTCTTACTGGTGAATGCAGAAGGGAATACATCTTCCCATTTAACAATATAGTTATGTTTACTTGTTTTTTTGTTGTTGTTTTTTCATCGTCTTGTGTGTTTCTCCACCTCCCTGTAGATCACATAGCGCTGATCATCGAGTTGCTAGGTAAAGTTCCTCGGAAGCTGATATTGGCAGGCAAATACTCCAAGGAATTTTTCACCAAGAAAGGTAAACACGCCCGCCCTGTTACCAGCTGTCTGCTCTAGCTAAATCCAGTACATCCTTAAAATAAGCTCAGGTATTTGGTGCAAGTGTTGCTTTTTCAGACCAAGCACTTGATGACTCAAGGGAACAGCCATATGCTCTGTTTGAGAACAGAACCTGCAAATTAAATTGAGTGCAGCTATTTCTAGCTCAGAAACGTAGTGGACCGTACCTCAGTACTATGGGTTAAATAGATTTTTTTTCTCTCCCAGGTGACCTGCGTCACATCACCAAGCTGAAGCCGTGGGCTCTGCTTGACGTGTTGGTAGAAAAGTACGAGTGGTCCAAAGAGGAGGCCCGCTCCTTCAGCAGCTTCCTCTTGCCCATGCTGGACCTGGTGCCTGAAAGGAGGGCTACAGCGGCCCAGTGCCTCAATCATCCATGGGTCATATCCTAGAGGTCACTCGTGCACACCCCTTCCTTCATATTGTGAAAAGATATAGATTTAGTTTGAAGAGCCTGGGCTTGAAAATATACAGTAAATGAGATATAGTCATGTCTGCAAGAGCCTGTGCCCGCATCACATCTGCATCCTCTTGTCAGGGCTCTCATGGGCTACCTCCACACACATGCAAGCATCCAAATAATAAAAGGAAAGGCTGCTGCTGAATCTTTGTTCTGTTGGATTACAAGGGTTATAGAAGGAACTTAAGGTCTTTTTTTAACTGGCTACATAAAACTTATTGACCTTGCCGTCTCATTTTTTTGTCTTTTCTCTGCAGGGTGTTCTTCTCTGTATCTTTAGCTATAGATAATAAGCTGTAGGGGTGAAAAGGAAATTACGCTTCTCTGGGAATGAGGAGAATACGATATTTAAACTGAAACATAGGGATTGTCATCATTAGATCGCTGATTAGCCAAATCAGTCTTTGTTCACCAGCCATCGTGTTAGCCATGCCAACTTTTATGCCGTTGGCTGTCAAATGTGTTCAAATTGCTCAGTATTAATAACTGTATAATGCTAACAGGCATGAAGAGCAGCTAGCATGTGGTTGGCACTGTAAAGTTAGCTTTATCCTGTTTAAAAAACAAAACACACTTTTGTACATTTATATACAAATGGCACTACAGGATTAGGAAGCATACATTTTGTACATGTCAACATTGTGCACCAAGTTTGTGGAAGGACCCGTCCAAAATCACTTTTATTTTTCCCTCAGGAGAACCAAACTGTGTACATTGTTTTTGCTTCAGGTATTATTTTATCTCCCGGATTCTTTCATGTTGTCTTGAATGAAACACCTGTTACATTATATTGTGAACAGAATTCAGGTTCTTTCTCTGCTTCAGACACAAGTTGGAAGAAGAAGACTTAGCACCTGCCCGTTCAGAATGGTTTCATATGTTCCCCCACACTACCAGTCAAACTATACGTGTATCCATGTCCTATGTGTACAGTACAGTGTACCAAAGAGATGGCCTTTCATTCCTCCCTCTCTAGCCATGGCTTTGCGCACGGTTTCTAGAAGATACTGTCATCAGTGTAGACTGACGTACATGAGATATTGGGTCTGAACAGTTTTACACTTTTGGATGTAAAAATGAATGATTGTACTTAAAGGAAATGCTGTAATGATGCTTTGTATTCCTCATTAGTTTGCTCATTTTTTAAAAACAAAATTTGGCTGTGGCTCCTCTGTTTCTCCTGTAGGTAATAAGAATAAACATTTTTCAAAATCTGCGTTTTTGATTTAAAACTGTTGTGTGATATAACAGTGCACAGGTCTGGAAAAAGCCATAGTGGTGCATGTGAATGACATTACAGGGACATAATGCAAACATTTAATTTTCACAACCATTAGGTTATTGATTTGGAAAGAAGACAAACATTACTTATGTTTTAACATCTCAAATCGTTTAATATTGTTGAAACTTGTAAGTTAATGAGCAGCTTTACATTTATAATTCTTTGTGAAAATCCTGAAGAGTTTAGTTGACATATTTATGTAAAACAGCATTTATTGCAGAAGGCTACACCTGTAAGGTAGAAGCTGTAGATGGGCAGTGACTCTGATTTCAACATATGTTAAGTTGTTAATTTTGAGACCAATATGAACTCGTACTTTGTATTTTCATGAACTGTCCTGGAGCCTTGGAATACATTTGAATCCCCCAAGTTAGCAGTACTCTTCTTCAGTTCCTGTCCATCTCTGTTCACTGTTGTCCACAGGATGTCTATGCATTATCTGTAGTCAAGAGAAAAGCAGCAATATTGAAAAGATAAGGTGAACTCATCAGTTCAGACAATGACGTAATTAATATGTCTATTCAAAATTTTCACCTGGGTTTAACAGTGCAGCCAAAGTTAGCTAAAGAAAAAAGTCTGGTTTTTACACAAGATAAACCATTAGATTGATATATTGTTTACTATTTCAGAAAATTAGGGGTTTGATTTAATTTTTTCCGTGTATTTCAAGTGTGCACCCCCTGGACTTTGCCCCAGCCTGGCCACCCCATCCAAAATTTTCTAGATCCGCCTCTGTGCAAGTCATTTGAATCTTTGCTTTTCACCTGATTCTCTACCTCTTATTTTCAGCTAAATCTCCTCATCCAGCCTGTGGCCTCCTCTCCCACCCCAGCATCTCTCCACCCTCCCTTCACTCTCGTACCTTTCCCCTCCACCTGGAAGTCCTCGGGCAGCAGCTTGTCCTGCCGGTTGCCTAGGCTGAAGGCCAGAAAGGAGAGGACGAGTGAGTCCATGATGCTGATGATGGCTAAGATGTAGGCCCAGCGCACCGTGCAGTTACCCAGGGTGTATTTGTCAGTTCGCTGGCCACACATGCGCTTCACCTCATCTGAATCCCAGCCATCAGGATAGATCATACAGCCAATCACCATGCACGTACCTCAGAGAGAAGGAGCCAGAAGATGGTGAGGGTGGTGTGTTTTTTTTTCTTTATCATATACTTCCATCAGGGATTAATTTGGAAAACATTTATTATCCTTTTCTTTATTAAAATGCACAAACTTTTAAGAATTTTAACGTAGGGAAACCTGTGAAATGGCACAGGAAGTATGACATGTTAACTGGTACAAGAGCATCTTGCTGATGTTGATGGGAAATATGCAGACTTCCTTCTTTAGCTGCAGTGCTGAAACAACAAACAAGCACACAGAAAAGCTACCAATTATATTCCACTTTTTCAGGCACACACACACACACACACAGGCGCGCATGCACAGCCATGTCTTCTTATAGATGAGAGGAGATAATACATAATACATTAAGATAATGCATTCCCTCTCCCTTCACCCTAAACTTAAATCAAGACATCACCCTGAAATTCAATGATTTATTTCATGATTCATATATGTACCAGATGCTGGTCCCCACAAGGAAGGCTGAGTCTCCACAGTATGAGTAATACCAGGTAAACACATGCAGTTGCCTAGCGACTCCAGAGCATCTAAACTCCAGAATAATGAGGATAGCCATCCATTACTGACTCTGCAGACAGACCCACCTCAGCATATGGAGGTACGTGACCTATCAGCTGACGAGATTAAACACACCTCCCACACCCTTTCACCTTCCCTGACTCTCAAAGCTCTCACATTCACTTTCTCATGTCTCTTCCTAATTTCAGTTGTCTTAAACTGCAACTTCCATTGACTTCCCAACACATCAGGGAGTTAAGTGTTTACACCACCTGAAACAATTAGGCCTCTCCCATTTTATTACATCGGTGCATGTTCCAGAATGTTTAGTGAAGACGTTTCTCTTTAAATTAGATCTAGTTGAACTTTAATTCAGCAGTTAGCTCAAGAGACCACCCAGAACCAAGCGCCACTCCCAGCTACACTTCTGAGTTCAGTATCTACTACACACAGTCCTACAGTATAAACACAGCAGTCTAAATCAAGTCTGAACCCTCAAACAACTATTTCAAAGTCTATCCCAAAGTGATGGCTGGCTAAAATGTCCTCACTTTGTAAAAATGTCCTTACCCCCAAGGCATAAAATTCAATACACACAGTACGGTGTGTCGGGTATGACAGAGAGGCGAAAGTGTAACGCCATACCTCCAGGTTAATCTCATTATTTGTGTCATTAAAGGTTTGTCCTTTCACTTGCTACATCTGTTCACGAGCTGCTTCATGTTTCAAAACAGAGTCATGTTTCACTGCTGTCTGAAAAGATCTCCTGACATGTTCTATGCTGTGCAGAAATGACCAGCATAGGTTTTTATTTAGCCTTTAACGGACATGTCCCTCTGCCATCTAACTTTTAAAACCACTATTATGCCTGTTCACGAGTACTTAACTTGAGTTATTTCCATTTTACTATACTTTATACTTCACTTCCACTACATTTCAAATGGAAGTGTACTTACAGTATTACTGTATTAGGCCACTAGTGTGGTAACATATTTTAGTATGCTGGAGGTGCAGACATGAAAAGAAACTCAAACAGATACAGCTGATACCTAAACACTCAAAGTTTGTGTTTTGTCTTTTATGGGCTACTTAACAGTCCTACACGAACTGCAGCTTCATAATCCTTACAGTTATAGACTTATTGTGTTCATTAAGAAGCCAAAATGTAAGTCAACATGCATATTTTATAGGCTATGTGCCATGTAAACTAAACTATTTACAGTCACTTCAGCCAAACTCTGGTCAAACCCTGGAGCTCACTAGAGGCCAGCTGCATCCAGGCGCAGATCTTGTACACGCTCCCCGCGTTACAGAAGAAGAAGAGGCTGAAGCAGACGATACATCCTACCACCAGCAGCATGGATATGCCCACGAAGAACATAGCAGTCTTGAAGGCGCCGGACGGGATGGAGCCGAAGTCCAGCGCGCTCCCTTTGCAAATAAGCTCCGAGGTGAGCGCGTTGCCAATGCAGTAGTGGAAGAGGCCGAAGTACCCGGCCTGCGGCGTGTTAACGCTGTCCCCAATCCAGTAGGGCTGGATGAACACCACCACGGTGATGACGGCGAAGGTGATGGTGGAAACCGTCCACACTACGCCCACGGCTCGGGCGTTACGCACGTAGTTGGTGTGGTAGATTTTAGCAGCTTCCTGAGCGGAGAGCATGGCAAGAGACTGTCCCCGTTCAGAAAGTGGGAAAATGTGCTTTCTTTCTTCTGTGAAGCTACCACCAAGCTGTGATCAAAAATGAGTGAACACACCTGTGTTTCTCTGGCCCACAGAAGTTAGACTTCTTTTAAGTTTTTCACCGGTGTGTTTCATCTGTGGATGATATTTCTCCCCTGTTGAGTCAGCTAGAGGAGCGTTTCCTCTCAAGGGAGGCAGAGGTCTTCTTGAATGATTAATGGTTAAAAGATCCATACAGAGTAACAAGTGCAAGGCTTCCCAGGTGGCACCAGACTATTCCTCTTTCACTGTTAGAGGCATAGGTTACCCTACTTAATTCCATTCCTTTATATTGTATTTTTCTTTTTTTTTAACTTAATATTGTCAGTCAGAACAAACAGACTAATGGACTGTCTGGTTGGGTCAAACCCATTCAGACCCACGTCTACATTTTGTCACATAGGTTATGTCTTAAATTAGTATTCACATGCCTAAATGTACAAAATCCATAGTCCTCATACTGTTCAAAAAATGAATATTGAAGTCCAGCTGAACCTGAGAGGAGCCTATGGCTTCTGATAGGTTGTTGTGTCAGTCTGTTCTTCTTCTCCATCTTCTTCTTGCTTGCATCATACTGGCCCTTCAGCTCTAACGGTGTAGCTTCCAGATGGAGTCTGTAACCTCTTCTGTATGATGTATGAAAGGTGCCATCTGAGGTCAAATCCACCGGCTTTAAAAATACTTTCTTATCCTATTATGGCGGAAATGAGGGATAATCTTGAGTTTGCAGAAAGTTAGATAAGGTAAATATCAGAAACCTTTGTAAAACTATATTTATAATGACAGAAACAAATGTGATGGAAATACTGTATATTTTATTTCCAGTATGATCACTTTACTTGACATTCATGTGTTTGGAGGGTGGGAGGAAACCCACATAGGCATGGGGAGAACATGGCCGCAGTGCTGGTTGCTTAGCCAGCCAGGAGATGGAGGTCTGAGCTTGGCAGATAAGGAAGTGAGGGGAAGGGGTAAAGAGGTAAGAGGGTGTTGGGATGATGGGAGGGTGGAGGTGGTTGAGTGAGAGGAAGGATGGGGGTTGAATATGGGGGCAGTAAGAGGGTGGGAGGGGTTAGAAAGAGGACAGATCCTACAGATCTCAAATTCTCCCTCCCTTTCTCTCTCCTTTTCCTTCTTCTCCATCTCCTTTTGTTTCGTCTCTCACTCTGTCTTTTTCATTGCCTTCTGTAAGCTATTAAAACAGCTACTCTTTCATTTAATTCAAATGCTTTAACACTTAAATGATTTTCACGAGATGAATTTTCACCTATCAGTTCATTATCTCTCCCCGTTTAAAGGCCACAGAACACTGAGTGTAACCATGACAAGAAATTATATTGCACAGCAAGAGTTCATCTGACCTGCAAAAACCCATAATTCATCAAAACATTTATTATATGT